GAGCGACTTGGCCGACGGACCATCTACCTGGCTTCTTTTGCTCTCTTTGTGGTATTTAACTGTCTTTGCGCCATCTCGAATTCTATCGGAATGCTGGTTGTAATGCGAATGTTGAGTGGTGGCGCCTCTGCTTCTGTCCAGGCGGTTGGTGCTGGCACCATCGCCGATCTCTGGGAACCTAGGGAGCGAGGACGGGCCATGGGTATCTTCTATCTAGGTCCATTGTGTGGACCCTTGTTTGCGCCCATTTTCGGGGGTCTCTTAGCTCAGCGCTGGGGATGGCGGAGCACCATGTGGTTCCTCTCGGCATTTGGTGCTCTCACTCTCATCTTTATCTTGTTCGCCCTTCCCGAGACGTTGGCCATGCAAAAGCCTGTGTTGGCTGAACTGGAGGACGACGAGGATCCAGCTATCAACCGCCCGTTGAGTCGAGTTTCGTCGCAGCAGGTTGTTCGGTCCACCGCAAGGTGGCTTAAGACGATGAAGATGGTCTTCATTGATCCACTCAAAATCATTCTTTACCTCAGATTCCTTCCCGTCCTTCTCAGTGTGTACTATGCCAGCGTCGCCTTCGGTTCTCTATATGTCCTCAATATCAGCATTGAGCATACCTTTGCACAGGAACCATACAACTTCTCCACCATCATCGTTGGTTTGTTGTACATTCCAAACTCACTGGGCTACATGGTGACCAGTATCTTTGGAGGCAAATGGATGGACAATATCATGCAACGGGAGGCCAGGAAGGCAAATCGATACGACGAGAAAGGCAGACTGGTACTACAACCAGAAGACCGAATGCGTGAGAATGCATGGCTTGGTGCTTTCATGTACCCAGCAGCTCTGATTTGGTATGGTTGGGCAGCGGAGAAGGGAGTCTTCTGGCTTGTCCCGGTATGTAAACTCTCAATGTGGTCCCGATGACACATTAGGAGCGTTCGCTAACTCCTACAGATGATTGCCAACTTCTTCTTTGGTATGGGCTCCATGCTCATTTTCAGTATGGTAACCACCATGCTCACCGAATTCATGCCGAAAAAGTCCTCAGAGGGTGTAGCTCTCAACAACTTCATGCGAAACATCTTCTCCTGTGTCGGTTCCGTCGTCACTGCCCCGATCATCAGCGGTATCGGCAATGGGTGGCTCTTCACCATCCTCGGCCTGGTCAGTTTTGCGAGCAGCTCGGTCATCTTCTTGATGAGAGTCAACGGCCCTAAATGGAGAAAGACTTTGGATGCACATATGCGGGCATGAGTTAGTTTTGCTCTGCATTACCAAGTTGCATTTTATCTCCGGCGTTCGAACATATTATTATTTTAATTTTGGGGGGTTAACAAGGGCCTGGCATAAATACAATTGGTGTCGGTAACAACAACCTTTCTTTGTTCTGGACATACGTCTCACCACAATAAAATATCCTTACCTTACTCTGTTTTTGACAATGTAAGACTTGAATAATCTGGTTTATCTGTCAAGATTATATTAGAGACGTTATATGCAAGAACATACCGACGTGTTTTGTCCTAAAGTCTTTCTAGGTGTGTACAGCGGCGGTAAAAAGCACTTTTCTATGTATAACCCACTGGTATCAAGGACATAGAGGGGACCGAAGGTAACATTAGCTAGAATAGTACACAATAAGAAGGACGGAGAGGCATCGGAGGCAGAGAATTATTTGGGACGGATGGATTAACTCCGTCTTCATTCCCTTGAACCATCTCGCTGGACCAAACAACGGCTTCCATGGCCACCGCGGGGCTGTCTAGATGAACAAGCACCTTTTATAGAGTCCGGGGAGCGGTTATTACAGCATCTTAACCTCACATCCGGTTCATGCCGCATCGCCAGTTCTACCAAGTAGAAGATACTCACCTTGACGGGCTCCATCAAATATATGCCCTACCAGTATCTACAATGCCTGCGTCATCTCTTACTCTGCGCAGTCAAGCATGCGACTCAATGTATCAGTTATCTAACTCAGACTGGAGTTCCAATAAAATGCCACAGGTCTTAAGCGAATTCCATTTACAGACAGGGGTATTAACTAATATCGATCAATAGTGACTTCTATCTCATGGGACCCCTCACCTCAAATTCTGAGAATCACGCTTCTCCTAGGATCATTCAATCCGTGTCCCGGTAATTGCATATGCCAAGCTAGTACGTATATAGTCTCCCGTATTTGTGTTATCGTGCATATTATCTAGGCCTAGATACACCGTACTAAATATTGGTCTGTCAATTATGGTATACTCTGGTCGAGAAAGCAGGTTCTTGAATTATTAGGAGCAATTGACTGTTTATGACCAAGCTAACTATGTTACTCTGTGGCTACATGGGCGCACTTCAATCTCTACTAGTTACGTACGGAGTATAGAAAAAGATATAGATCTGAGTAATACTGCGCGTATTAACTCACCTGCATGAAAAAAAAGTGAGGCAGCCAATCATAGTTTTATCACGCCATGTTATTGACTAGCCAGCACTTCTAGCGAACATTCGATGCGTCTGTGAGGGGAAGGGGAGATCACCGGCGGGATAACGGAGTAGAGGGGATATTTGCTGGGGCTACCAGGGTCTACAACGTATGCATGGGGTGCTTTTTCAAGCGATATCGCGAATATGATTTGGTTGCCAAAAGTAACCAAGCCCTCCACTACCAGTAGTTTTTTCTTTTCCTCGCACGGGTCATTCTTTAAGATCCGATGCCGGGAACACCCCTACCAAGCTATACTCCAAACGACCTATCCATTCGCTAGTTGTAATCTCAAATATAAGACATCGGATGAAAGTCTATTAAACCTCAGAGGTCTCCTCTCCGATCGGCATAGCCCTTTCAAGTGCATGGGTGGCAAAGTAACAGCTCGGTGAAAATAAGAGCGATTTTTATGCCCATCTACCCCATATAGAATCCAAGAGTCTGGGAGTCCAACGTATGCAAACAAGACCCCAAGAACCCAAGAATCCCGGCCCAATTCTGAGAATAGAAACAAACCCACCAATCATATTTACAAATGCGATGGGTTCACCTCGAGAGGGCCGCTATCTGCTAACCACCGCAACACGGCATGGATGCTCGGCCCGCTGCATGGAGTTGGGTACATAGATGACCGTATCTGGCGATTTGGCTGAGGACTTGTATCAGTAGGTACGACATATCGGGGAATAACACGAAAACTCAGCGCCGAGATGATCCGCTAGAAAAGCGAAAAGTGGCCTAGACATGCATGCAGCTCTTTTTAGACTCGAATGTTGGCTTCTGTACCTATCTATACCTTTCGGTACATTAGGTCGAACTGACCACATATGCCATTTTGAAAGAAGAGGACCCCAGTGACGAAGCTGTTGTAAGACGACACATCGACCAGATAGCCGTGGGTCTTTGTTAGTGTACTTCGTGGACCAAGTTAGATGCAAGTGGCGGACGTGTTGATCCAGGAGCGGCTGGTATTGACGCGATAATCAATGTAGTCATAGGCGGAATGGAAATATGGAAATCCCGAATATAGCAGAAACGAGGGAGAATTTGATGTCCAAGTCCAATGCACAATATCACCTGACCCCCAAGAAACTCCGGATTCCCCCATTTTTCTCTTCTTTTTCGTTACAAAGTACATTTGATGCAGTCCACGATGTTTAACTGCATATTACATCACCTTTTTAACTGCTGGCTCCCTTACAGTTGAGTGTCACAGAATAATGATCTCGGACAATACTCTGAAGTGTCGGTGTCGTGTCGGTGTCCAAAGTGGAGATTCGATTATCCACGACTCCATCAAGCTCCATACAACTTCATTCCCAACCACCCCGTTTCGCCTTTCCGGCTTGATTCTATGAATAATGCAGAAATTGACTGGAAGTTTCAATATTTGCCTCCCAGTATCGGATCCCTTTTGAGGTTAATCGTCCTGGTCTCCCCACCGGTGTACTTTGTACGCCTGCATCCTATTTGCCGCCGTTACCGGGGCACGTTGGGCAGAAATGGGTCTGCATCACCTCTGCGTCGCCCATCGATTTTCCTATTGAAACATTGCCTTCGTGGCTTTGTCTACTGTACACCTGCGAAGTTCCCTGGGCCCAATTCATTTCTATTCTCATCTCAATATGTCTGTCTGTGTGTAGTAACCAGGCCCGAAAACAAACCAAAAGAAAGGGAAAAAAAAAGAAAAAAGAAAATCAAGTCAATCCAATTCAATTCAGTTCAATTCAATTCATTCGGTGGCATCCACCCCACTTCAACAGACCCAGTTTCTCCATACTCCTGCAGCACTACCTTTCCTATCCTGACCGATGTGCCCCCCTGTCCCCAATCCCATCTCCCCATTTACTACTTGGTGCTGCAGCTCTTCCTGCGAGTGGGGATTCTGCTGCTCTCACCCGGCCCTAACCAGGTACTGGACCTCACTAAACCATCATGTCGGCCCTGGAGATGGAGACCCGACGACCGACGTGGCCCAATGACAATTGGCTCCATCGGGCAGTTCATTAGTGACGTTCAGGGCCCAAGGACCGTAATGCACTTTGCTGTCGTCCCATCCGACCGCATAGGAGACGAACTATTATACGTTGCCTCACCATGACTGTCCAATGCGACCTCTGTGTTACCAGAGAAACAAGCATATCCTTTCTTTCCCTTTTAGTACTCTAATACATGAGGTACCCTACCCAGTTTCACACTCCTCAATTGTCAATATTTTGTATCTTTTGTTCCTCAATTTCCCCTGTCGCCCCATACTTTCCGTGCATCGAGCCCGACAAGCCGGCTTGTCAATTTCCCATTGTCCTGGTTCTCGTCACATCACGCGCCAGTCAGCCTCGCCCAGGCGTTCGATATATGATACGTCATTGACCGGGGATCATGGCCGGTAAGAATAAGAAGAAGACCAAGAACAATAAAAACAATAACAATCGCCCTCCCGTCGGTTCTGCACCACCACCTGAACCCGAGAACAAAGCCCTCGTCGACCCTGCCCCGGACCCGGCGGTAGCCGCTGTTGAGGATGCCTTACAAGTATGCCGACCTCCCTCAGTACTCATATGCATCGGTCCAACGTCAATATTCGACCTTTGATTATGAGACTAAATCTTTCCAATTTTACCCTGTCACCTATTCAACGACCGATCTGACCGAGGGCCAAAACCAGGACAACAAGGAGCCCACCGCCGAACCGGAGAAGGACCCTGCCTCTGAAGACCCCCCAGCCGCTGAGCCAAGTGGCGATGACAGCCCGCCCACTGAACCTACAGGTAAGTACATGTTTCCATAGATGATGAGGTTTATCGCCGAAAAATCTATACGCTACTTTTTGTACTTGATATCAACATATAATGTTCAGATTCCACAGAGGCTGCACCATCAGCCGAGTCTCCACCCGACGAGGCAGCCCCCGAAGCTAAAGAAGATGGCAAGGATGAGCCAGCGCCAGATGCAGAGAATCCCGACGAGGCTCCCAAGGAGGCTGCCGTAGAAGACGGGAAACCTACAGAGGATGCAAAGCCTGACGACGGTGCAGCGCCTGAAGGCGAAGCAAAGTCCGAAGAGGAAGCCAAACCTGAAGAGGAAGCCAAACCTGAAGAGGAAGCCAAACCTGAAGAGGAAGCCAAACCTGAAGAGGAAGCCAAACCTGAAGAGGAAGCCAAACCTGAAGAGGAAGCCAAACCTGAAGAAGAAGCCAAGCCTGGAGGAGATCCAAAGCCCGAAGACGACCCAAAGCCTGAAGATGAATCTAAACCTGAAGGCGGTGCAGCGCCCGATGAAAGTGCGAATCCTGAAGAGGAATCAAAGCCCGAAGAAGATGCAAAACCTGAAGGTGAAAAAGATGCTCCAGCAGGTGAAGACACGAAAAAAGAAGGCGACGGCAACAATGGTCAGTATCCAAACGTACATTAGTTCTTACGAAGCTAACAGTACGTAGATGAAGGTTTCCCAGACTTTGACATAGACGTAGATCCTGAGACTTTAGCGGCCGAGAAAGAGGCTACTGCTAAAGCGGCCGCCGAAGACGCCCTAGAGGCCGATGAATCACCTGCTGCAGCATCCGAGCCACCCGCGGAGGAGCCCAAGGCAGAGGAAAAGCCAGCGGGCAAGAGTAAGAAAAAGAAAGGCAAGAAAAACAAGAAGTCCGCCGAGCCAGAGCCAGAGCAAACGCCAGAGCCAGCCGCGGAGCCAGAGCCAGCGCCAGAGCCAGAGCCAGCGCCAGAGCCAGAGCCAGCGCCAGAACCAGAGCCAGCGGCAGAACCAGAGCTAGCGGCAGAACCAGAGCCAGCGGCAGAACCAGAGCTAACGCCAGAACCAGCCGCCGAAACAGCCCCGGAGCCTGAAGCTGAGCCCGAAAAGCCCGCAGATAACCCTCCTGATACCTCTGCTCCAGAGGAACCAGCAGCACCCGAGCCAGCCGCGGAGGAACCCAAGCCAGAGGAAAAGCCAGCGGGCAAGGGTAAGAAAAAGAAGGGCAAGAAAGCCAAGAAGGCAGCCGAGACAGAGCCAACGCCAGAACCAGCCGCTGAAGCAGCACCTGAAATAAGTGAACAACCAGCGGAAGCAGAGGCACCAGCAGCTGAGCCTGAACCTGAACCTGCTCCACCTACAGCAGAAGAGGAGAAGGCTCCCGAAGAACCTGTCAAGGAACCGGAGCCGGAAGCCTCGCCAGTTGAGGAAACACCTGCTGCCGAACCCGAAGCTGCTGCGGAAGAGAAGGTGGAAGCTGTAGAGCCCGAGCCAGTTGAGACTCCCAAAGAGGCACCCGTCGAAGAAAGCACTCCGGCTGAGCCTGCCCCTGAACCCGCTGCCGAGCCTGTTGCTGAGCCTACCCCTGAGCCCGCTCCGGAACCGGCTGCTGAGCCAGCCCCTGAGCCTGTTGTTGAAGCTCCTGCTGAGCCTGAGCCTGAGCCTGCTGCTGAGTCTGCTCCGGAACCCGCTGCTGAGCCTGAGACCGAGCCAGCTGCCGAGCCTGCCCCTGAGCCTGCTGCTGAGTCTGCTCCGGAACCCGCTGCTGAGCCCGCTGCTGAGCCTGAGCCCGAGCCAGCTGCCGAGCCAGCCCCTGAGCCTGCTGCTGAGTCTGCTCCGGAACCCGCTGCTGAGCCCGCTGCTGAGCCAGCTGCCGAGCCTGCCCCTGAGCCTGCTGCTGAGTCTGCTCCGGAACCCGCTGCTGAGCCCGCTGCTGAGCCTGAGCCCGAGCCAGCTGCTGAGCCAGCCCCTGAGCCTGTTGTTGAAGCTCCTGCTGAGCCTGAGCCTGAGCCTGCTGCTGAGTCTGCCCCGGAACCCGCTGCTGAGCCTGAGACCGAGCCAGCTGCCGAGCCTGCCCCTGAAGCTCCTGCTGAGCCTGTTGTTGAAGCTCCTGCTGAGCCTGAGCCTGAGCCCGAGCCTGCTGCTGAGCCTACTACTGAGTCTGCCCCGGAACCCGCTGCTGAGCCTGAGCCCGAGCCTGCTGCTGAGCCTACTACTGAGTCTGCCCCGGAACCCGCTGCTGAGCCTGAAGCAGCTGCCGAACCTGTCGTTGAAGCTCCTGTTGAGCCTGAGCCTGAGCCTGAGCCCGCTGCTGAGCCCGCTGCTGAGCCTGCCGCTGAGCCTGAAGCAGCTGCCGAGCCTGCCCCTGAAGCTCCTGCTGAGCCTGAGCCTGAGCCCGAGCCTGCTGCTGAGCCTGCCCCTGAGCCTACTGCTGAGTCTGCTCCGGAACCCGCTGCTGAGCCTGAAGCAGCTGCCGAACCTGTCGTTGAAGCTCCTGTTGAGCCTGAGCCTGAGCCTGTTGTTGAAGCTCCTGCTGAGCCTGAAGCAGCTGCCGAGCCTGAAGCTGAGCCTGAAGCTCCCGAGGAACCTGCCGCTAAAGAGAAGGAAGTGACTGAAGATGCCCCCGCTGCCGCAGATCCTGTAGAGGAGACTCCTGCCCCAGAACCAGCGGTTGAGGAGGCACCTGCTCCCGCCCCGGTGGAAGAGACACCAGTGGAAGAAACGCCAATTGCCGAGACCCCTGCAGAGGCCGTAGCAGAACCGGAAGTCGTACCCGATGAGGCGCCAAAGGATATCCCAGTGGAAACACCTACTGACGAGCCAACGCCCGAAGAACCCGCTCCTGTCGAAGTTGCCCCGGCTGAGATCCTGGCACCTGACGAATCCCCGGCTGAACCAGTGGTTCCGGACGAGGCCCCAACTGAGACACCAGAGGCCGATGCAGCTGCAATCCCAGTCGAGACTCCAACGCCGGAAGAGGCATTGCCTGAGACAGCGCCAGAGGAGCCAACCCCTGAGCCAGAGGCTGCCAGAGACCTCCCCGCCGAAGACCCACTAGCAGAACCAGAAGCTTCCCCCGAGCCAGTATCTGTCCCCGCTAGCGACGAAGTGGCGCCCGACGAGCTCGTACCACCGCCAGCAGACGCCCAGCCTGAGGTTGAGATGATCGACGCCGAGCCTCTTGACGAAAGCGCAGAAGCCGCAGCAGCCCGCCACTCCCGACGCCGCAGAAAGCGTACCTCGCCGATCGAAGGAGAGCGTCGGCAGTCTAAGACATCGTCTGAGGGCCGCCGGGATCAACTTCAGCGTCAGAAGAGCGAGCGAAACATCTTCACCAACCGCTGGGCCAAGGCACTGGAAGAAGCACGACGCCAACACGACGAGAAATCACAGATGCAGCGAAAGCAGCGTGCTCTCGCCGAAGAACGAGAGCGCAGCGGTATTCCTGCCCCCGAGAAATTGAAGCGCTCGAAGAGCTCGTCCAGGGAGAAGGTGGAGAAGGAGAGGGCAATGGAACCAGAAATGGAGGCCGAAGTCATCGAACCCAGATCCAAACGCCGCACCTCCGACACTCCCTCGAACCAACCTCTCGAACGGGCCCGCTCAACCAGGACCTCTTCATCGAAGCAGGTGTCAACATCGGTACCGACGCCCAGGCCCCGTGCCTTCCTGCGGTACATGACTGAAGGCAAGTCGGATACCAATGGGCCTTTGCTGCGCCTAAATGCCACCAAGGCTGCACCGCCAATTGAGAGGCCGCGCCGGTCATCGACAAGTCACAGCAGTGGCAGCCGTCAGGATCGGGCGGAGCATGAAGAGCGACACTCCAGTGGTCGGTCTAGCGGATCACGGTCGCGACGCGACGAGGAGCCTCCTCGCACTGAGCGTGTCGAGCGCACTGAGAGTAGGAGATTGCGACGCTCGTCGACGGCTGAGCATGGTCGATCTAGGGAGGAGAGGAAGGAGAGGGAGAGGGAGAAAGATCGGGTGGAGAAGGAGCGTGAGCGTGAGCGTGAACACGCACGTGAACGAGAAATCGAGAGAGAGAAGGAGAGGGAAGGGGAGAAGAAGCCTGAGAGCTCCTCCCGACGTTCTAGGGAGACGAGAGAGGTTCGCTCTCATCGTCGCCACAGACGCGAGGAATCGCCTCCCCGAGAGGAGTCGAAGCTGAAGGGTCTCTGGAGAGCGATTGCTGCCCATTGAGACCGTAGAGTTTTTTTTTTCCGTTGTTTTTTTGTTTACTTTCACTTTCAACCTTGTCTTTTACTTAACGGTGGTTTGTGGTTTGTGGTTTGACAGAATGATCTATATGTGATTATGTGTATGCTTGATGAATTTGTGCTTGCATTGGGGAGCGAATCATTGCAGGAGTACTTGACTTGATTTTATTAGCCAGATTTGATTCAATATGCATCAACTTGACAAGGATTTTGATTGAGGTTATTTGGAGTGCCTATATAACGTCAATCCCATCAGTGTCATATTTCATGATATACGTCGTTTTGCAAAACTGGTATCTTCGCCAGTGGCATCAGTCGTAAACAATAGAAAAGTCGCCCGATCATATGCAACATGAAACATGCAAGGCCCTAAACCAGACAGTCCGAGTAAGTAACAAATAGAATCAAGTCTGCTCGCTCTTCGCTGGAATCACTCTAGAACACCACCCACACCAAGCACGATACACACCCTTCTCCTCCCTCTCAAGGTAATTCCCAGTATCCCTCTCGTCCTCATACTCAACAACACAAGCACCAACATTAACTCTCTTTTTAGACTTATGCTTAACAATACCACCCAACCCAATAACCTCCTGTCTGAAATACCCAGGCTCTTCATCATCATGGCTATCCGTCGAGACACCAATCCCCTCGTAACCAAACGAGGGAGGAGCTGCAGGACTCTGTGCCGTACTACTGGTATCACTCCCAGACCCAGACCCCTCATCAGCCTCACAGTCAACCTCAAGCTCAATCTCCTGCGCAGCAAGACAGTTCTCACCACGCCCACACTTAACACCCTGGCAGCCTTCACCAATGCCAGTGCCCAGCCCGCCCCCAAGGTACGTACTGTAGCGCGTGCGCCACGCCCAGACACGACGGTACGTCGTGTCATTACTGCGCAGCGTCATTCCGCACTGCGTGCACAGCCAGACGGCTTCCTCGCAATTGCAAGGGTTTCGCGCGAACGCAATTGCCGCGACGGTATTCTCGTTCCATGGGTCGGGAGTATGCGGATCTGAGGTTGTGTAGGAGAGATGAGAGGCGAGGGGCGCTATTCCGCAGGGTCGACAGAGGCGGCGGATACGGTTTTTAAGGGCTGGTTGGGAAGGAGGTTTGATTGTGCAGTTCTTCAGAGCTTGGTTTAGCAACTTGGCGGTCTTTGTTAGACGCGGGGGGAGGGGGGGATTTGACTTACTCTGCATACAACCTTGGCGCAGCGTCGACATTCGTCCACCATGTCGCGCGCGCATTTGCCCACTTTCCCGCGAGTCATACGGGTTTGCTCGCCGCCGGGATGGCTGAGTAGTCGTATGACCGATTTGACGCTGTCTGGCAGGACGGAGCCGCTGTCTAGCATCTCTGCTAGGGTTTCGATATATTCATTCTCGCACCGGAGAGTCTCCCTCGCTAGTTGGTGGCGAAATGGTGCCAAGTTCACATGGAACTGGCGACATGTACTCGATAATGCATAGAGGGTATTTAAGTCGATGGCGTGAGCGATTTCTTTGACAATGCTATGGTGTGATCGTTAGCTGGGTCTGAATCCTATTAACGGCTGTTAGCAAACAAATACATACGGATAACAACTCAAAGCCGCGGAGAATCCATTCCGATTGGGGTTTAGGATCTCGTTGGTAGTTTCATCCGGCGAAGTCGGCGATGTGGGTAGTTCGGCCGGCTCCGACGCGATGGGGTCAACCATTAAGGGGAATGGCATCTCCAAAATTGCTGATCTATCGGGAAATGCATCATCGAGGTCGACAAATACCACCATGCTGCTCCATCAGAGGCCTTTTCTTAAAACCAGTTTCATCAGATAAGATCAGAGGTCTTTTATAGTGCCCCGTTCAAAGTGTATGGAACTGAAGGGTCCGGGGGTGGGATGATGGCGGAGGGATTAATTGCCGCTCCGAAAACCGGGGCGGTGAGTTACGTGATCACATTTCTGCTGTCTCTTCGTTTCAGAAATGAGGTCTGATGCGATGTGGATAGAACAATAGAATGATATACGTCATACTTCAGATAACCTCGGCCAAAGTACCGGGGAGGTCATGCTTATCTCCGATATGAAGTATCTATGGATGTATACTATCTATGGATGTATAAATGTACACAAGCTGAGCCGTTTGTTTCCTAATCGGGTAACAGACGTGACTTCATACCTTTACAGCGGTGTATTCTCAAAAACCCTTTGATTTCAGTATATACATACTACATATGTATTTAGTAGCACCCTAATAAGGGGCTCAAAGAGGGTAGGGAATCAAGTTCTTCACATGTTACATGTACAACATAGATGTAGTAGTTAGTAGTGGACCCCAGGTGCCCACGAGTAATTACTTAGGTAAGTATAAAGTTCCCCAAAGTTGGAGTCATATCCATTGAATTTTCTCCAATTCGTCAGACTTGCCGAGGAACCTTCCGACTTTCTTTCCATTTATCCATTTATGACAGACTTCCAGCCCTGCCCTGGGGAAATTGGTGGGGGTTGATAAGCATCTGATATCCCCCCCCCCAATATCCCCCGCTCTCCCACTTCTCCATCATCCCAAGTCATGCCGCTCAACGCCAAAGCCGTATACTCCCGCGAGAACGCGGACTTTGTCCCGTTTTCTAGTAGACGGAGTACCGTCCACAGCACCAAGGGCATCGTATCATGCACCCAACCGCTAGCCGCTGCTGCGGGTCATAAAATCCTAGGTCAGGGTGGAAATGCAGCAGTATGTGCCTTGTTCAATTTTACGCCGTATCCCACTTCAACAATACTGACCGTGATACTCCTGCCTAGGATGCCGCTGTTGCCGTTGGTAAGCCCTGCCTCGAGTTCCATAATCACAGCACGAAACAAAGAACTGATCTCATGCTTCTACAGCCGCCGGACTCAATATGACTGAACCTGGCTCCACGGGCATCGGAGGCGACATGTTCTGTCTCTTCTACAACGCCAAGACGAAGAAGGTACATGCGCTCAATGGCTCTGGTCGGTATCCTGGTAATGCCAGCTTAGAGAAAATTCGCAAGGATCTCGGTCTGGCCCCCGGGCAGCCGGGCAACATGCCCATGTTGAATGCTCTAGCTGCGACTACGCCTGGAGCGGCTGCAGGATGGGTTGATACAATCGAGAAGTTTGGTAGCGGTAAGTTATCGCTCGAGCAGATTCTACAACCTGCTATTGAGCTGGGAGAGGAGGGATTCCCTGTGTCGGAGCTTTCGTCTCATGGTGTAAGTATTCAATTCCCAACCGCAATCGCACCATGGTACCATGGACTAACCCGCACGCAGTGGAATGAGTCCGAGAAAGATATCCGCAATGCATCTCCTAATTTCCGTGAAATGTTGAAAGTCGATCTTTCAGCCAAAGATGGCGTGCGAGCCCCGCGTCCAGGCGAGATCATGAAGAATCCCACCCTAGCCAAGACCTTCCGCACACTCGCTGCAGAGGGCAAGAAAGGATTCTACCAAGGACGGATCGCTGAATCCATCGTCAAGGTGGTGCAAGACCTGGGAGGCTACATGTCACTCGAGGATCTAGCCTATCACGCCGAGACCGGGACACAGGAAGTCGACGCGATCTCACTCAAGTTTACTGGCCAGGACATCGTCTCCAAGGCGGTACCTGGCACAGATGGCGAAGCCAACCAGGGCGTTGAGATTTGGGAACACCCACCAAACGGCCAGGGCATCGTGGCACTAATGGCACTCGGTATCATGGAGGAACTCGAAAAATCAGGCAAGATCCCCAAGTTTACCGAGGCCCAGCATAACTCCGCCGAGTACCTACACGCCGTGATTGAGAGTCTACGCATCGCCTTCGCCGACGCAGCCTGGTGGGTCACAGATCCAGACGTGGAGAGCGTGCCTTCGCAAGGCCTACTCGACCGCGCGTACCTCGCAGAGCGGGCGAAGCTATTCACACCCGAACGCGCAGCAGATATCATGGACCACGGCAGTCCAGCGCACAACCACTGCGACACGGTGTACTTCGCAGTGACGGACCACGAGGGCAACGGCATCTCTTTCATCAACAGTAACTACGCCGGGTTCGGAACGGCCATCATCCCTGCTGGCTGTGGCTTCACGCTGCAGAACCGCGGTGCCAATTTCTCGCTGCAGGAAGGCCACCCTAATGTCCTAGCCCCCCGCAAGCGGCCATACCACACTATCATCCCTGCCCTTATCACTAATATCGCCGATGGATCCTTACACTCCGTTTACGGTGTTATGGGAGGCTTTATGCAACCGCAGGGCCATGTGCAGGTTATGCTAAATATGCTTGCCTTCGGTTATCATCCCCAAGCAGCGCTCGATTCGCCACGCTTCTGTCTTGCTGCGCCGAATGACGAGAGTACTGACCGCACGGTGTGGGTTGAGGAGGGCATCAGTAATGATACTGTGGAGGGACTGCGTCGTCTTGGTCACAAGATTGAGGTGTTGAGTGGTTGGAAGCGGGCTATGTTTGGTCGCGGCCAGATCATTCGTTCGTACTATGACGATGGGAAGCTGGTTTATGCTGCAGGCAGTGATCTTCGAGGTGATGGTATGGTATTCCCTTTGCTGTAGAGACATATTGATGTAGACATGTGCCTAGTCACAAGTGATCAGCTATCGAGAAATCCACGCTTTTTGCTTAGCTCTTTCTGTTTCTTTTTCTTAAAGTATCATCATGGCTGTTTATCATCGGATCTCTCCGCCGCCCTACAGCCACCCAACTACACCAATCATGTTACAACTAAGCTCAGGTAAAGATGATTTTGTTCCAAAACAAGCATTATGTCAGAAACCTGTGTTTCTATCTCATGGGTATCTGATACCTTATGTACCTACCTATACACCCTGGGAAAGGACGGTGAAGGATGCATCGATAGAGGGGAATATAGGGCAAACCCAAGCCCATTCCCTGAGTCGTACCAAAGAGGACAGTATTACTGTTTTATATAAAGCTCTCCACAGAAGACTTAGAGACTAAATGTGTCAATGTAC